TATATAGTATATATAGTATACTTACTACGTATATAATACTACTACATATATATATATATATATATATATATATATATATATATATATATATATATCATGAAGGAATGAGAACTCCGAGTAAATTTTATGATAAGTGACTGACCTTTGCCATTGTGACTATGTCAGGAATAACACCCTGTGTTTCAAATCCCCAATAATGGCTTCCTGTACGACCAAATCCACTTTGAACTTCATCTGCTATACAAACACCACCAGCCTTGCGCACAATATCATATACCATTTTCAAGTATCCAGGAGCCAATTCCACAGCTCCACCAACTCCCTAAAATGTGTCGAGCATGAATTCTTTATGGGTAGAGGAATAAGACGAACTTATTGAAATTGAGTAAATATAACCCCTAAACTGTGCCAAAGTAAAACAAACTTAGGTTGAGTGTTAACAGTGAGGAACTTAAGAGAGCCAAACCTGAAATGTTTCTGCAATAAAACCTGCAACTTTACCACAGGTACCAAAGTCAATGTGATCTTGCACATCTTTAGCATAACGGGCACCATCAGGGCCAAAGGCTCCACGATATGGATCTGGATTTACAACATGATGGATTTCTCCCTGTAGAAATAATTTTAGGGCGGAAGCATAGTAAAAAAAGAATAGTAGAGATAAGGCTCGAATAGGGCAGAATGGTGGAATAGGATTTGTGTAGCCAACCCTAAATAGTTGGAATAAAGCTCAGATGATGATGATGACGATGATGATGAAGCATAGTCAAAGAAGATATATAGAATTGTACATTTTGTAAGGCACACATTGTTTTCGACAACTTTATTGATTCATAAAATAAGCGTATACAAGGCACATAATGCAAAAGAGAATGATCCCAAACATCAAACTCCACTTTTCACTGATAAAGAAGGAAACTCAGAACATTTAAGCCCTCTTTACTCACCCAGGCTAGGCCCATTAACTTTCTTATTTTCTATATGAATTTCCCCATTAGTTTCTATCTATCCTTGAAATTTTGGACTAATCTGTTATGAACAAGTTCAAAAATTGGCTACATCCAGACCTCTTCACAGTATTCTTCTACATGTGACACCAAACAATCGCTTTTTCTTAATAAATCAAAGAGAAGGGGAACCATGGTAGTGTGACGTTTTTTGAGGTTTATCATTACCAATGGTATCTTTTGTATTGACGAGCTCCAATCTTTAATGCATGCTTCTTACTTTTATTTTTTTGGATAGTTCAGGAGGAAAGGGGTCCCCTTGCCGTAGTAGGAATGGAAACTCAAGATGTCATATTATGGCAACCTGCCACCCTGACCACCTGGCCTTGAGCCCATTCCTTAATGCATGCTTTTTAGGCCTCAACTTTTCCAACCACCAAGTCAGATTTACTCTTGACTAAACCAAACCCATTATGAAGTCACAAAGTGGGCGACTCTGTAATTTTATACATGAGTATGCATATCAACAAACTATGTTGGTCATATGGCAAGGCAACCAAGTAAACAAATGAATCAACCGTTACGCATTGAGTTGAGGAAGCATGGGCATAAACAGTGACATGCACAAGAAGAAACTTTGAATGTCATATGTCAAACGCCCAAGTCATTCAGACTGTGGTAAAAAAAGGGTTACACAACATAAAACCTTCTGAAAAGGCCATTAGTACAGAGGGAACAAATACATTAGACTTTGGTTCGTTTCCAAATAAATGTAAATTACAAGGATACATGGTTTTAGAAGAGAGTTACTCTTCACATGAGTCCATATTAATTAAAGACAAAAAAGCAACTCTTCAAATGAGTCCATATTAATTAAAGACAAAAAAGCAACTGAGTGAGGGCCTAGTTTTTTTACTCGCTCTCTCTCTCTATCTCTCTCTTTCTCGTTCTCTGTGTGTATGTGTGTGTGTGCGTGCGTGCGTGCGTGCGTGTGTGTCTTGAAAATGCTTCTTTCTTCGGCTAAGTAATTAGAAAACTCTTCTAAACCTCAGAGAAGGACAGAAATATGCTCTAAGAAGTTTCTTAATCAACCAACCTGAGGTATCGGATATTTCCAAGTATTAAGGGCAGTTAGCCCTATTGTTCCAGCACTGCCACCGTGATAGGCATTTCTCAAAGCAATCATACCATGATTACCACTATACAGTCGAGCCATCAGCATTGCTAATTCATTGGCCTCTGTCCCAGAATTAACAAAATACACAACCTGTACAAATATTAACAAAACAAAGATATAGTCAATATAACAGAAAGGAGATGAAACTGAACCACATTACCATATATCATGACTAATAACATTAATGAATTCAACCTCTAAAATGATAAACTCGCAATAAACCAACAGTCATGATTTAAATAGCATATTTCATTGCATTAAGAAAGAAAAAAAAAGGATGTTGAAGCTAGCTTCAATATGGAACCATCTATCATGTCCATTGGCTGATAAAGTGACACTTCAACTAAACCTTGAAAAGTTCAGAATCAAGAACCATGCTACAATTGATGAACTAAACTTATTTTATGTGGTTTTCTAACTATTCAAATTAGTGCATCATGGTATTTTCCAACACTTACATGCCCTAGGTTTTTATTTTATTTTATCTTCGGGGACATATACCATGATCCAATGGATCCAATAGAACGATGGACAGTGATTTGAAGGACCAGTACCCACCAAAACAGAGCATGAGCCCAATAGAAGGCCACACTTTCTCCATCAGTTTGCAATATATCAATAGACAGTGATGAGTCTCTTGCATTATAGCATGCTTTCCCATTATAAATTAAAAAGGAAGATTAAAGCATCAAAAGTGCTTGTTAGAACTGGCAAATGCGGCAAATCCCAAAGGCCCTGCATTGTGCCACAAATACCACCATTTTTTTTAGAATGGTTAACTATGCCATAGAAAAGGCTTAATATTCAAATTTTATAGCCACAATGGAAGGAAAAATTGTAGGTAACTTCTTTTTTTTTTTTTTGAGAAAGATCAGAAGAAAAGTCAACTACCTTAAGGTTTCCTGGCATTTTAGCTGCTAAAGCTTCTGCGAATTCGGCAATTGCATGGTGTAAGTATATAGTTGTAGCATGTTGAAGCAGCTTGGTCTGCTCTATAACAGCATTAACAACATCCGGATGGCAATGTCCACATGATACAGTTACTATGCCAGCAAAAGCATCAAGGTAACGCCTTCCATTCTCATCGAATAAATATTGCATCTTGCCTTCGACAATATTGAGCTGGGCAACATGAAACAGTCACTAAATGAGAAACCCAACAAAGAAAAGGCAGTCATGTTTGAATTCTTACTGAGAATGAAATCCATAAAGCGGAAAAGACAGCAGCCCCAAGACATGCATGTATTATGATCCTTCGGACAGTCTCATAATCTCACTGAAAACTTTCTTTACTTTTGCAGTAGTGCGAAAGTGAAAGTATATCCCATATAAATTTCACTCCCAAGAATGTATACATTTCTGTTCAGTGAGATCATGAAACTTTTAAATCCTATAGCATGCAATTGAAGCTAGATCATTACCAGAAGGTTTGATAAGCTTAAAAATGAAGAAATAAATGAATAGAACCATAAAAAAACTGGAATTCATGAGTTGTGATTATTGTAAAAAAAATAAAAAACTGGGATTCATGAGCTCAAAGAAGGATTAAGAAATAGTTCATCATCAGCAAATCAGAAACAAACCATCTGAAACCTTAGTTATCTCCATTTTACAACGCCCAAAGAACCATATGTCAAATGAAAAACCAATTTTCATATCCAAGAGAAATAAACTTCACAATAAGATCCAAAACCAAGCATACTCACAGGTTTCTGGTAATAATAGAAAAGCGAAGGCCCAAGAAACCTCTTCCTCTTCTGCAAAATTTCATCAACCCTAGGCCCTGTGTAAGGCTTTGGTTCATAGTCAAAAGGAGGTAGCTTGGGCTCTGCAACAGAAGAGAGAGAATGACGAAAGAGCCCATAAAACTGAGACCTTGAAATCAGGGTTTTTCTGATAAGTTTTCCATGGAAAGCCATGGCATAATGTGAAGAAAAATGGAAATGGTGATGTTGGGTGCGGCTTAAAGGAGGGCAGCTGAAGCCTACTGGTTCCTGCAACAAAAGCCATTGCCCCTTTCCCTTTTCTCTGTATATATAAAGGAGGAGCCTATATTTGAAACAAATTACAGGGTAGAGCGAGAAAATCTTAATGAGAGAGAGAGACTGGAGGATGGTTGTTCTTTACATATAATGACGAAACGGTGACAAGGCTTTGAAATATATTATGCATGCGTTTTCATTTAAATATTAATGGAGGGAGGAGAGAGAATAGTAATAAAAGCAATAAACTTAGAGAGAGAAAGAGACAACTAGAAAGAATGCTTTCCTTCTCCGAAAATGACAAACCTGTGTTGCAAGGTTTTAAAATCCGCTATAACGGTTGAAAATGGTTTGCAGATGCTAAATTGTAATTGGACCGGCCGTTACAAAATTAAGCCTTGCAATGGGCGGGCCAGACTGGGCTCGGGCCGGTCGTGCCAACCCTCAAAAATTCAAGATGTGGCATGAAAGCATCCATTTTAAAAATGGATGCAAGTAGGTATTCTATTGAGAATGACTGGGGGACTTGGCGGTAGTATTGTTAAGCCGATGATGAGATCTTTCACTTTATTCTCCCTTAAAGGTCGATGCCCAAATCCCTATTTTTTTATTAGAATTATTATTTATAATTTTTTAAATTTATTTATTTATTCATATTCATGATGTGCATGTTAGAGATTACGTGTCTTTAAAAATTAAGTCTTAAAATCCATTTTGAAAATAAATTTATTAAGAAGCCCACATTTCTATATACGCGGGCTTGGCTGCATAGAAACCAGGTCATCTTTTTATTGATTTCATTTGGCCAGGCCTGCCATGACAAAGTTAGGACCGGTCTTGAAGGACTAGGGCGAGCCTAGGGTTAAGGTTCCCTAGCCTAGGCCTGGCCCTTTACTCACCCTAAACTTGGATGCGATGAGTCATCCGACTCATCTATTCGTATATTTCCCCCTTCTTAAATCTATTTTCGAGTCTAGAAATGGATTTTACATCTAAATTTTGAAGGATCGATAATCTCGATCACGATAACCTTGTATTATGAGAACACTAGTAATTTACGTGTGTTGCACGAATTGTTAGAAGATATTGAACAATGAAGAAATATTTAAAGAAAAAACAGAAATTAATAGTATAGTTTAAAGTTACTTATACATCCTAAAAAATTATGTCTAGTTTTGAAGTATTGAAAGAGAACGAAGTAGACATAACATTTTAATTCATCGCATGGTTTTGTGCTCCCAATTTTAATCAAATAGTAAGCTTAAAATTTTAGGCATCTAAAAATCCATACAAGTAAAAATAACCTTTGTAGGGTTACGTGATGATGCTCACACTATAGTATTTTATAATTGTAAATTAATTTGAGATGTTAATATACCATTGTTTTGTACATGGAACATTTTTTAGCAATGGTATTTTTAGTTACTAGAGATGTGATATCATCCACATCTACATATGTATGTGGATTATTAAATTCCACTAGTATACTCCATATGTATGAGGTCGCATCCCATGCGTATCACATCACACCTTTAATGACCAAAAATACCATTTCTAAAACAAGTACTTCATGTACAAGACAGGTATATAAATGTCGGAGCACCCTATCATAACCCTAATTTATATTCCTAATTATATTCATACCTAAAATTTAGGGATTTGTTTGAACTATAGAAAATTTCAATAAATCCTTAGGACTATTTACACAAAATAGTATTATAGCAAGTTTTCTATTCAAATAAAAAGACTATAGAAAGAGGTGAGGTTTAAGGAAGAGATATAAATGACATTAGAAAAGAGAGAGGGAAATCCAACATGTCATCCTCTACCACAGGAGAGCAAGGTTTTTATCGAAATAGAAAATAATAGAGGAAGACAAATTTTACTAGGTAAGAAAATGAAATTTAACGTGCCGTTATTTTCTACCAATACTTTTTAAAATTAAATAAAAGATTGTATGACATTGTCTATATCTACTTTGAAAATCTCTAAAGATGGTGCAGATCGACAATCCACGTAACAGATGCTTCCTAAGACTTTGAAAATTCACCCTACTTATATCGCATAAAATTTATATTTTATACAAGCTTTTTTCTTAGTTTTTATTTCCATCCCATATTTAGATCTTGCTTATCGATGTTCATATATTATAACATGGACTACATTGTCATAAAAAATTCTTTTTATTTCCTAGCAATTGTGATGACCCCACATGCCCTATTTTCACCAAGCATCATACGTCATCATCCAGAATTTTTATTTTTATTTTTTTGACAGAAATCAGATATTATTTTTAAGATCTAAAAAGAGATTACAGACAAAAATGTAACCTTTTTGCAAAAAAATCTGCCAGCCCATTAACTTCTCAATAAACATGTACCAAGGAAAGCACAAACAAACTAACAATGTCTCAAATTTGTAGCAAAAATTTAAAATGGTGTTTGAAAATAGTAGTAGCATGTAATGGTTGCAACGCACTAGGCTGATTGGACTAAATGTGGATTATAGTCATTATTGCTCATTCTATATTCAAAGGTTGTGAGATTGTTTCTTTGCCTTATTGGAGGTGGATTGATGGCTCAGATTAGAAGATGCATACCCTCACCAGCGTCTGGAAAACCCCACTTGCGCCTTGAAAAGTTCTTTCAAGATAATAAATCTTGTTTTTGTTGGTTTGGAGGTTGTCAGATCCACCTAAAGGATGGATAATGTTAAATATCTCAACCATCACGATCATGAATTTAAAAGAGAAAAAACTAAAAAAAAAAAAAAAAAAGAAGAATCTTGAGCATTACATATTACTCATCTTATACTTTTCTTTCCTAGACCATTCATTTCAATTCCTCAAAGATCAACAATCTACACTATTTTGGAATTCCAAATTTCCAGATTTGAGCCAGAAATGGAGTTGCATCAGTAAATGATGCATTTCGGATCCTAAACCTAATGAAAACTAGGGGAGAAGTATGAGTTGGCGGACTCATTAAAAAAATTCATGGATATAATTATATGGTGTTATTCGATCATCCCTTTGCCAACACCAAATAATTGAAAAAAAATTATAATGATGATTTGATCATCCCTTTCAATAAGGGACAATCGAGAGTGAACCTAATAGATGTCCTAGTGGGGTAACATATATCATGCATATGTGGTGTATAGTGCCCATGGAAAACAACCATAGCAACCTCTCTCCTAGATTGATTTTATGGAAATTATACAATATATGTCTTGCGTCCGGTATACAATACACAACCGGGGCATTATCATTCATTCTTAAGTTGGATGGAAAATATGAATATATAATTTTGGGAGAGTCTGAAGTCAAGCCACTAGCTGACCGTTGCAGTAAACGTCCAATGTCCCAAATTGAATCTAGACTAATTCAACGGTTAGCATTGCATTTCATATATGAATTTTAATTTTTTTTCTACAAATCCAAATCACTTGAAATTTGAAACATCTATTCTTAAAAAATATAAGAATCCAATAACAATATAAAAAAACTAATTCACAAAAATTAAAATGACAAAATACCCATGAAATTGTTAAAGGTGTTTTGGTTGATTTAGTGTTTGTCAATTATTTTTTAAACATATTTATCAAGTGTGTCTTCGGAAGAGTGCACAATCCAAATTTGTAAAAAAAAAAATATTACAATTTAAATATGAAACACTGCTATGACCATCAAATCGATTCAAATTTAATATGTGTTGTTGGGCGTATACTATTCCTTCAGCCCATGGGCTAATATGATCTTTTCCCTATAATTTTAGTTTCTCAATAGCGACGATAGAAAGGTCTTACTCTTATCTATATGTTCCACTGATATAGGCTCCAAGGTAGAATATTGCATATTCGTGATACAGTCTTGGGCCCAGACCTACCCTACACTGTTTTGGGCCAGGCTCAAGCCAAGGCATGCCCTGGTCGAAGCCGGCCCATTAAATCCCCTATTCGGTGTAAAATTCACGAATTCTACCGACCAAATGTTAAATACCGTGGCAAGATTCAAGAAACAAAAATTATGTGAGAGGAGCAAATCACATGCAATGAACAAATTTAAACCTTAAGATGGCCAACTAAATACGCAATAATATTGCCAAAATCAATAATGCAATGACAGGTGAGACCAAACATTTGTGGTGTGTCTTTTGAGTAAATTTTGATTTCATAATTAAGGGGGCACTTGTAGTGTACTGCAGGAGCAAATCCCTAGCTCTCTTGGGTCAAACCCCCACTTAGGAGGATCTATTTGATCTGACATTTTTGGGAATAACAAGTTCAAAGAAAACCTGATTTTGATCTCCTTTTAGAAAAATGGACTAGCCACATTCACTCTTAAGATGGGATTTCTTTTTAAGGTTCTTTTTCGGCCTTTTTTTTTGTTAAGGGTTGACAACTAGGAAGAGCAGGTGACATTCTCAAATTTTGGGGCTCAAAAGGTAATACTCCTAAGTAGGTTTTTGCTGGAGGGAGCAAATGTACAATTTGCTCCCATGTGAGCATATAATCTTTTGGCTACGTTTCAATGAGAAATCAGTTCACCAAGACAAATAAAGAGCCCAATTGCAGGTCATCAAAGCCCCATGACTATGAAATTATCGCCTTCCCATCAATGTGTTGGACGCTAATGAAGGGGAGTGTTCATACAGTATCGTACAATTAACGAATCTTAGAGCCCCACGTTTTCTCCATCACCGTCCAGCCCACTGATTGGACAGAGATAAATCACATGATCATTGTTGTTACTATTCCACTTCTATGGTGCTTTATTTTCCCTCATGTAACCTCTGATACAACTTTCCCCATATTTTTCTATGTTTCGGTGCACACTTGCAGGCAGCTCCAGGTGGTACATGGGCAACAAAAGGGACAGAGAAACTAGAAAAAAAAGTATCACTTGAAATTATCTTAAAACAATAAAAGTAAAAGACAATAGAGAAAAACCAAAGTGTTTGACACAAAAACTATGCATTCCTTATCCTACAAGTGCAACACCCAAAAAAAAGAATATATAAAGCATATGTAAAGTAGAGAAAGGAATGGGTTACAAAGAACATACTGGAGGAAATTTTCTCTTAAGATGGAGTGAAGAAATGAAAATTACAAGGGATCTCTCCATCCTTCAAATTTAAGTTTCCCAGACACAGCTTTGGGTGTCCCAATCCAAATACACCCAAATTATGTCAAAGTGTTAGATGTGGTGGCCTAAAATTCAAAATCCCCCAAAAGGATTAATTTAGAATTTAGCAAGAACAAGATTAAATCATTATAATGCAAACCCGATGGCAAGAGCTCCATTGCCCATTTATTAGAAATCTCAATTCCCCCAGGTTTAGGGACAGCAATAACCGAACATTATTGTTTCCTTCAACAGACATTCCTTTCATTTGAGAAACTTCAAAACGAATCAAAGGACATGATTTCCACAAATACAAAAACTCATTGAATTTCAGTAAGTATGATATTGCGCAAAGCTGGGGCAAAGGGAACAAGTCCTCCCCATGGAAGATATAAGAAAGAAGCCCATTCCATTCTCAACTTGGCTAATCGTTCAGAGAGTAATGCAATAAAACAGCAATAACAATCACCAACATAACTCTTAAAAGTTTATGACCCGATATCAATGACAAAGATGATGATGATGATGGTGATGATGAGGTTGAAGGAGACACTTGTGACTTGCCTCTTATCTTGACAGATATCTTGGTGAAGAGACGAGTTACGAGTCCACCTTTCACAGCAGCTAAAATAGAAAAGGAAGTAAGGTTCATATGTCAGGAAAATCGTTTGCCAATGCTTTACAAGTTCAGAATTAACAAAATAATGCAAAATAAAATATGATCACAAAAGTGGGTGACATTTGACTATTGAATTAGTTCTCCAAAAACCGCTTACTGACTTAAAAGAAAAAAAACGTTCCTTTCTCAATCTCCACAAGTTCCTAAAATTAAGAGAAGCTATCGATGTAGTCTCACTCCAATAGTATCTACATTTATGAATTTCTAGCTAGGTAAGCTAGCAGATAAAATTTCTTACAGGAGACGATATCTCTAAGGTTTCAGTGCTGTTTCAGAATTCAATAAGGCCCATAGCAGTTATGTGCAAATGTTTTGAACTCTACCTTCTAAAAGTTCAATATTGATCATAATTCCCCCGAGGGTTTGCATCATTGCCTCAAACACAATGAGATTCAAGAATCACAAAATTTGGCGTGAAAAGAACTTCAAAGTGAGCCCATTTCACATACATTATACAAGTGAACAAGGTGAGATAACCAGATTAAAACAACAAAAATACAGTAAATCAATGGTATAATTTGATGGCAAGAATACCAAATATGCACATGTCTACACTTATGTGCCTTACAATAATATTCTAAGCGCTTGTTTGGATCATATTTAAAATCTTATCAGGAGTAGAATTAGAATTTCTTATGTGAAATCAATATACTCTGCACAATATTATTTTGTTAGTTGTTTTGTAAATACTTATACTATATACAATGATTTAACTTTTTTGGTAAATATTAGTTATTTTTAGTTATTTAGGACTAAAAACATGAGATTGTCAGCAAATTACTTTGCATAAAGTAAATGTCCTTCTTCGAAAGGATAAACTTATGGGTAAAATGCCTATAAGTTTATCTCATATATTTTTACGAGGGGCACAACCAAGCAACATATAATTCATTATCAGGATTAATTTTATTGAAAAAGTGAATTATCAGTGACAACAAGTACATCCACACAAGTATTAAATTTCATGAAATTTAAATAGTAATATCCATAACATGATTTAAATGATAGCTTGATAACTGCCCACCTATATACTGCAAAAATTTAGAATATGCTTTTTAACTTGAACATAAAAGCAGAAATTTTCAACATTAAAGAAACATGGTAATTTTTTCAGGAAACTTTTTCATTTATCACAGCATAATGCATTATAGAGTCACCTTTGCTGTTTAAGAATCTCTCTTCTTCACCAATGCGTCTCCTCATAACATTCAGCAACGACCCAAAATATAAGGCTAACACCGTACATGTCAGCGTGATCACATTATAAGGCATGCTAAAATCAGGAGTTGCCAAAGGGACAAGTAATACTTCAGTGTACAGTTGTACGGGATTATTTTCCTACAAAGAACAAGAAATCAACAATCTGGTAAGAAACACAGAGATATTTCTTTTGTTTTTTGCACTTTTGATTGTTAACAAAGAAGATATTTTAGAGGAAGAAGAACAGAGTCATGTCATGGATATATTCATTCTCCCGTATCACAGACCTCAAATACATATCAATCAGCCAAGGCTTAAATGGTACCTGAAATTTTGATAATAAGGGTGAACCGTTGGAGGTTTCATCACCAACATGGTAGTAACGTGCTTGTAAGTCTGGAAAACTGATCAGTGCTGATGGAAGGTCAAATCCTTGATTAGCATCTGGAGGGTATTCATCAATATGTAGGAAACCCTGCAAGTGCAAGATTGGCATCAGTATGTCAAGAAGAACAGTAGACCAAAATAATATAGAGTGGAGATACAGGATCTTTCTACTTTTTTTTGTGTAATCTAGTAGAAATGCAGGATTACCAAGGATATGACAGGCTATTTTTGTTGACTAGTGGGGTCATAATGCTGACTTTTTCTTTGGGTAGTTCAGCAGGACTAAAACTTAGGATGTGATATTGCAAGTATCAACACCTTAGGCAATCAAGCCTAAGTCCAAGTCGGGTCCTAAATTTAAATGTATGGTTGTAATTCTTTCCTTAAGATCAATATTCAATAAAATCAGTTCATCATCATCATCGTCAGAGCCATTTTTCAACTAATTGGAGTCAGCTACACGAATCCTGGTGTGCCATTCTGCTTTATTAAAAGTCATACCCTGAGGCCATAGGTCCTCATATCTTTTCTCACTACTTCCAACCATATCCTTTTAGGCTTATCTATTGGCCTTTTGAGCCTTCTACTGGTACTAACTTGCACCTCCTAACAAGTGTCATACTGCATTTGTGCCTCTGATGGACAGCCCACCTAAATCTACTATCTCATTTTACTGCCTATAGGTGCCACACCTAAATTCTCCGGATGTATTTATTTCGAATTTATTTCAAATTCTATCCCTTCTTGTCTTACCACTCATCCGCCTCAACATCCTCATTTTTAGCTACACTCATTTCATGGGTATATGTTGTTTCTTGACCGCACAACATTCTGCCCCATAAGGCAAAGCTTATCTTATTGTTCTCCTATTGAACTTGCCCTCCAGCTTCATTGGTATGCAGCAATCACATAAAACTCTGGTTGGACATCTCCACTTCGTCCACCCAACTCTAATTCTATGTGCAACATCTCAATCACTCCATTTTTCTGGATTATCAACCCAAGATATCTAAAACGCGCTCTTTTTGGTATTTCTTGGCCATCAATCTTAACTACTTCATTGTCTCTACTCCTATTATTACTAAACTTGCATTCCATATACTCTATCTTAATTCAGCTAAGTTTAGAACTTTTAGATTATATAGCATCCCTCCAAACTTCTAACTTTATGTTGACGCCGTTTAGGGTCTCATCGATCAAACCATGGATGTCACATAAAGCTTTGCTCTTTCCATGCTTGCTTGATAAAGGTTCTCATAAATTAGGATTTCATCTCACAAAAGAATCATCTTTTCCATAAGTAAAACGACAACCTGATAGTCCCCATTTCATACTTCAAAGTTACACATGCCCCATAAAATGACATCTCCTCTTTTATTGCATGCCTGGGCACTCATGCTTACTTCCGGACTCAACATGCTTAACCAGACTGAACAGACATCAGATAATTTTATTTATAAAAATTTTGGACATGGCTATGGGGGTCATGGATACAACAATTATAGACTCGACTTGCCATTTATTAATGGCAGGAAAGAGGAAAAAGGGACAAGCCCACTAAGATCCACAAAGCAAAGTCAGGATCAGTTCCCTCCTCAAGCAGATGGCAAGGTTAAGTCTAAAAGAATGGCATTCACTAGTCTCTAATTCAATTATTTCAATTTTGTCACTCCCAAGGAATGAGATATTTTACTTTACACATATTTCCAGCCATATTAATAACTATTCTTTATACATAATCCCCGAGGTACTTTTCTTTAAAAAGATTTGAGTGTGCTCCAATCAGTCACCTTCAGCCTTTTGTACAAACTGTGGGAATTTTAATTGAGAACCCCATAAACAAAATGCAACATTGGTTTGCCTTTTTGTGCATTATACTTATGTATCAAATGTAATATGAGTTTCAACTCATTAGTTTGAACTCATTATTCAAACTTCCCTTTCTCTAATTAAGAAAGTTGTGAAGATAATATAACTACGAACTGTATTTAAATTGTATTGACTTGCAGCATGGATTCTTAATACACCAAAAACAACCATACAACCATAATTATAAGTAACAGAACGGAGCACTGAGAATAGCAGGGCATACCTTATCAAACTCTATGGTTAATGCAGCTGACTCTGTATTGCAAGGAATTGCAAGCGCCAACTCCATCAGTCCAGGTGATACTCTGTCTTCTGAAGGAGAGACATGTATCTTCTGTATCACATCTGAGACAGGTTTTGGCTCCCCATCTACATATATTTGAAGTGTATGAAAATACACTTTAATATACCAAGGGACAACTTGGAAAATCACAACCCTCATCACACAATCAGGTTGATTTGACAATGGAACCTCTTGAAGAATTTCACTTACAGAACGCAATGTGATAGCAATGGAGCCTCTTGCATTTCCACTTCCCATTAAAAACCTGCTTGCGTGAAATGGTGCTTCAAGACATCTCCAAAATACAGGAAGCTTCCATGAGATCCCCACATCAAGAGGTTCAAGCTTACTATATTTTTCGACGGAATACTTGTAGAGGATGGAAAAACTTTGCAAGTTATTTCTGCTATCCAAATTCTTCACTAATTTGAGTTGCTCGTCAGGAACAACAGACAATTTGAGGACCCCATTGAACACCGAAGATTCATACCCACCATCACTATTGCCCAGTGTCAACATCTCTCCACCCAACTTTCCCAACTCTTCAACTAAATAACTCTCTAACTCCAACAAGACATTGCTGGACTTCGCAAGAACACAGGGACCAGTAACTCTCCTTCCAAACAGAGAACCAAGTGACCAACTTGGGTGAATTAACCTTCCACCAGAATGGTTTAAACTTATTTGAACGTCAGGCTGCAACACGAGAGTCAAAGTTTGTTGCAGGACTGTTCCTTCCATCGTCATGGCTTTTGAACCAAATTCAGCTGAAGTAATATGCAGCCTTTGTGAGTGATAATACCCTCCATATATGGAGGGTCTATCAAGAATGGAAGCTAGCCCTGCTTTATCTCGACATGGGAGCAGCTTTAGCCATGGAGTAAGATTTTCTGTGCAAACAGCTTCACGAGGCAGTGCACCATACCTCAACCGGCTAGAGTATGTCAAATCTTCAAATTTTGCAGGAGCTGATAGGAAACTCCAACTTGGAGAAGAATATGCAGTTGAAGACTCCATAAAGTTTATGGAAGAACAGAACAGACCAGAAAGAGCATGGGTCAGATTACTCCAGGTAGAATCAATTTCATCTTGTGGGACATCAAAAATAGCCCAAAGCTCAACGCCTGGTGGTTTGGCATTGGCACTGGATATGGGATCAAATCCTCCCCAACGTTCATAATTCCACCGCCCTTGCGTGAAGGAGAGCTCCATTTCCCGAATTCTGAACTTTTGAACCTGCCAAACATGACTCATTGTTACAATGTCTCTCATCAAAATTCACCAGGAAACTATCACATGAAAAAATTACTTTGAAGATCTAATAAAACAATTAGAGCAGTAACTGTTCAGGGAAACATGCCTAAAATTATCTGATGTTTTGAGCAACCTGATGTAGTTAACTTTCCCTTATAACAAAAACAAAGTGTTTTTAAAATAACATATAGTACAATACGCAGTAACCGAAAGAAACATTTGGACATTCCAAAAAAGCTTGGATTGTTAGCTTCCTTCCTGACGTCATTGTGGGGAAGGGAGACACAAGTTTGTTGTTCAAGCTTTTAATAGGCTTTGGATCATATCTGTCAGCATAAATCAAGATCTAAAAAACACCAATTTTTAGGCCCGACATCCAAAATGAAAAAGTGCTTATTAATAGAAGATTGATCCGTGAATGTGGATTCATATATGCATTACCACGAATCTATCATTTTGATTATCTATATACAGACATAAAAGAAAATATTTCAATTTACTGACCATTTTCCAAACAATTTTGACAACACAATTAATCTCCAAAGAAACAGAAACTTTAGATCAGTCATATACAGTGAGCCATATTAAGGAGTTTCAAAGTTGGTAATGGACTTGAATTTTAAGGCAAATCCTGGAAAAAAACCTAGTAGCAAGATTCAAGTAAATCACATAGAAATCTGCTTACGTTGAATGAAATGTGTATATCATAAAGAAAGTACCTGTTTCTTAACTTTCTAGGGAAATTGTGTGTTTTTCAGCCTTTTATTTATTTTAAGAAATTTTGTAACATCCATCACTAAAAGTCTGCAAGACAAAAAAAAAATCCTTTGAGAGCAAAAATCAAGGAACCTATTGCCTGGAACTCAGGCAAATTTTGGGAAAGCAACCTATTTAGGCTTTCACCCATGACATGTTGATGCCAAACCTTTGGAAAAATGACCAAGATTCTGTACTAACTATAATGCCACTTTCATGTTTAAAGAAAGGAAATTATCATTAAATTTAAACTAGAATTGAATCCCTAATTTGTGATTTATTAAGGCCAGAGTATAGCATACATTGAAAGAGTAAAATATCAAAAAAATTAACAGGATATTATTTCATAAAAATCACAAATTACGCAATTATCATCTTCATGATTTAAGTTAGAAAGAAACTATTTCTGCTCGATTTACCAAATATTATCATACATTTGTCATCGATAAGCTCGGTATATTCCACAAAAAATCATGGAATCGACTTATCAATCTATTCAGCGAACATTACAACAAATTCAAATTTTATTGACCAATACTTCCCCCTAATATCCACCCCCAGTTTCAAAAGAAGAAGAAAAAAGATCCAATAAACTCTAGTCCTAAACCAAAAAGCTCAAAACACAGTAAACTGAAACTGGGTCTGAGGCAACAAGGAAAGATGCCGCACCAGCTGATCAATGGCTTTAGGGTAGAGTCGATGGTGTGGTCCATAGCTCTGAGTTGAAGGGGTCCTGCTTTCAAAGAGGAAATGAGCTAAGACCTTGCGATCAGGCAGAGGTTTCAGCAAAAGCTCCTCTGAGAACTCCTCTTCTTCTGCAGCTTTAGAGAGAAGCAGAGAAAGAAATAAGCAAAATATAAACACGGAAACAGAAGAATAGCTATTAGAGAGAGAGAGAGAAGCCATTAGAAGGAGGAACAAGGGATCATTTTTATAGAGATTCAGAGCTCAAAGGCTTGAAGGTGGAGTTCTGAGGATTAACGGCGAGAACAAGGATAGTGGTTTTTCGGTGGACTTGAGTGACCAAAGCAACCCCATTGATTTTTAAGAAGGACAAGAGGACCCTAACTCTAATTTCTCATAACTTATTAATTACCCAATCTGACCGGTGGATGGCCTTCTTGGAAACCGGTCACCATTGGCGAATTATAGACTAAAAACGGCGGTTTGGACTAGGGAATCGGTTAATAATAAAATAAAATTTATTAAATATATTAATAAAAATTATAAAAATTTGAAAAAAATTGAACTGAATCACCTGATTCCTTCCAAAATTGGCCAATTATATCAAAACACTTGCAAGTTCGGTGGAAAAATGGCCGGTTCAAACTGATCCCACCGATTCTAAATACAAATTGTCGTTTTTTAATATTGTCTTCCATGATTACCATGTTTTATACAAGATAGAATGGCCCGCTTCCCATAATTGTCGTGCTTTGGATTCAAAACAGGAAAAAAAAATATTTGACACGGCAGTAACCAGTAAAGCTTCACCTCAAAATTCATGGAAAATTGGAGTATTAGCATCAGAAAACCTTCAAACCGATCATCTCGACTTTGACTATTATGTTTGTGAGATAAATTTAGGATTTCAAGTCTTACAAATAATGTATATTATATAACACATTATCTAGATCGTTCATTTTCAAGTGCTCACAAATCCACAAGATTTGTACTATTTTTTAGCCTCAAATTTCATAATGATTGGAGAAAATTGATTTTTAGCGGCATCATAGAGATTTCTCATACCCAAACTATTCTTCAGACGAGGTTTCGAGATGAGGCTTTACTTTTTTTTTGCAAAAGGCTTAAGCCTTATAGAAACTGAATCCTCCAAAACCTTGAACAACCCAAAGGTATTTTTTTGGTCCCTCCAAATAATTGAGTAATTTTTTATAACGTATTTTTAGATTAAGAAAATAATATCATTTTGACCTTCTCATACCAAAAGAAAGTGGTTTAATAGTATACAATCTTTTCTCTTTGTTGAGGTTTATGGACGTCGAATGATATATTTTAATATGAAAATATATTCCAAAGTTTTATTTTAAATAAGCAAAGGTATTTAGCTGCTTAAGTGACACTAGATGATTTAAAGGAAAAGTCTGTGATGAGACTATTTACTTTTTGTACAATGTGATCACAAATAATCTTGAGTATTGGATTTGAAATTGGGTGGCAATATTGATTTCATTGACCATGCTAAAAGTTTAAAAGAAATTTTTTCGAACTTTACAGTACATCCAAGTTATCAGATTTCACATCGAACGGTTGTAAATAATTGTAACCTCCTTGTATTAAAAGAAATGTTCCTATTGTATGCAATCCCTTACTTAAGTACACATGCTTCTTAAAAGTTTGGATTTGAATAGACACAAGTTGAAGTGTATCTCAACAAGTTTTTCAAAGAAATAATGCAATGAACTTTATAAAGAAACTACCCTTATGCTATATTGATTGATTTGATCGTGTTAACAATTTATTTTAGTTGGCTCAACCGATTTTACTCATATTTTTCCTTTTCATGGGGAAAACACTATGACTATTGCCTCCTAAATTGTCAGACCATACGACTGACGTACGTGAGGCTGTTTGCGAAGGGTATGATTTGCATAAGGCTGCACCTTTAAACAATCAAAACAAGGCGCATCCGATGCAATTTTTGACGTCCAGAAAGGTATGATTTGCATAAGGCTGCAACTTTAAACAATCAGGCACATCTGATGCAATTTTGACGTCCAAATTCCTGACATGGCACGTGAGTTTTAAACTTTTAAGCTCCAAAAATGGTTCAAATCAAATAAATATATGAAAGCTAAATCTTGAAAATATGGACGGTCCAAATAATGTGTTGTGAGTTGAAATTTTTCTTTTCTCCGTATCCATACATCAACATCCAAACAACTTTGTTTGAGGGAATTTTTGAGATGCAACTCAATTGTACATTTTGAGGTGTCAATCATATATGAACTCTTTCATTTATAGAAAACCGCATTTGTGACATTTTTTTCTTGGACATTCGGACCAAACCCACACCGATGTTTCATGTTCCACATATAGGACAGAACCCATTGTTAAAATGACATAGACAAGATCTATATATTCTCTATCTCTAAGATCTATATGTCCTCTCTCTCTCTCTCTCTCTCATAGACGCACACATTTCACAGTAGAATTCGAACTTAGGGATAAATGTTGCTACCTTCATCTTCTCTCTCTCTAAGATCTATATGTTCTCTCTCATTTCACAGTAGAATTCGAACCAAGGAATATAGTGTGTTCCTACCTTCAACATCTCTCTCTCGTTTCACAGTAGAATTTGATCATGGAATATAGTGTTGCTACCATCAACATCTTAATCAATCAAGCTCACGGCCGAATTTTTGTTATAAACCACTGGTTAAAATACAGATATTAATGCTTGGCTCTTGAAACATTAGATAAAAATAAATAAAGTATTGGCTGACATATTGGGCCAAGGGCAAAACTAGAATAATTTTTTTAAGAAAAATAACTCAATAGGTGATATTTCAAAAAAATCAAATGTAGGCATGCCATGTCCCACACGTGGGTGCACATTAAGAACCATTAGATTCATTTCATTTTACCCGATTCTTTAGCTTAGACCTTAAAACTAAATGTTAAATTGAATGAATCAGTAAAATTTTGAAAAATACCGCTACAATGTTGAGCTACTCAGCCTAGTTTCATAGAGGTATTTTTATGAAATGAAAGTATTTAGAGGAACTACTAAAAAAAATGTAAAGGTGCTTCTACAAAAATTTGAATATATTGGTGAAGAAACACCATATTACACTAGATGGTAGTACCTCCAAAATGGAAGTACCTCTACTTATCAAGCTGAAATGAACCAGTTTTTGGAAATCAATATTCAGCTCATCCACCCAAAATGGAACAAATGTGTATCTCTCTCTTATAAAATTTAGTGGGTATCAATATTCAAGCTAACCCAACATCATATAACGGATCCTCTTGGTTCATCACTACCTGCATTTGAGCCCATCAACACCAATATCTCAGACCTCTGTTCTGGCTCTCTTTCGAGGGCTGTTTTCTTTTGCTTCTGATGGGTTAGCTTTCCTTACTGATATGAAAGCCATTTTGGTTTCTCTCTCTACCTTCGATTCCGCTCTTTGGGATTCTGTGGACGAGGGTAAACCTACGATGTTGCCATTTTCAATGGAGGACGGATTGGTTTCTTCAATGAAGAGATCCCCATGTATAATTATTTCATCACAAACTTCATCCTCTTGGTCAGAGCCTGAGATCAAAAGAGAGGGTCTTGTATGAGTGTGGTATCAAATCTTGGAAAAGTATCAGCCTCACAAAGCAAAAACCTGAAGCATCAAGTGAAAACCAATCTGAAGTCGACAAGCAAAATCAGTACACTGCATGCACCGGACTTCTTTTTTTTGGATTATGAAGAAACATCATATTACACTAGATCATGAAGGCATATACACAAACTTTTCATCAGTGAAACAACGTTAAAGACATACTATAGCATATATATTCCAGTTCCAGGCTGAAAAATATGTAAGATATGAAATAATATGAACAAAAATGTCATGTCTGGGCATATTTATTGGAAGAAAGTAGGAAGCCAATCAGATATTCCACAACTAAACTACTCTTGAGAAAGTATTCACAGCCCTGAATGTCAAAAAGAATGAAAAATACCATTGTCTAAAGCTCCTATTGTCCGATACTTCATGATTTGAGTTCTTTGAGAATTTTCTCTTCCGCGGATGGGATCTTGATCCGGGTTCATTTTCTTGCCTTCCTTGGCTATCTCACGCAAGCGGAATTTGTCTCCCTCCCAGACACATTCTAATGTAAGGAACTCCTCATTAGGGAGGTAATAATCTACCAAAACCTGCAAGAAGTTTGGCAATCATTTTGCCAGAGTGAAATAAGTGGGCTAATAAAACATTATACCAAATAGAACAGAAAACTACCTTAAGAGACAGGCCTGGTGTACAGCACATGGAGCACACAAAAATGGAAAGCTTTACACAATAAGCATAAAGCAGTTAAATTATACATCTAGTTATGGGAGTTGGTTCCAGATTTTGTGGGTTGATTGGCGTAGTTTCTGTTATTGAACAAGATAGCAAGCTGCATACCTATTCTCAAAAAAAGATATTGAGCTGCATACCTTTGGTAGTTGGTTGAGTTTCCATTGATGGGACCCATTGTTTTTTTTAAAAGTAAGTTGTATTGAAGAGAAGAAAAGACGGTACAAAATTGGACCACCTTGAGGGCCATGGGTTATATACAGCAAAAATGGCAGCCCTAAGGGAGGGAGCTCTATACAAAATCCCTGGAGAGGGTAATGAAAGGAAGGAAAGAGGAGGAGGGGAGCAGGAAACCCTTGAAGGGACACTGGCCGAGTTTGCAAAACCTCAGCCTATAGCATGTGAAGCACCCACTTTGGCGAGAGAGTCTGCTTCTATGTTATTCTTGCGGTATATGCGTCTCCAGGTAGTCACAAGTCCTCTGCTCACATGAGATACTTCATTGAAAATGTGGATCAGGGGCCAGGGGCAGTTAGCGGAACCAGAAGCCCAGGAAATCACGTTGTGGGATCCCCTTCTACTGTAAGTGCTTAGCCCCAAGAGTTGACAAATAGTTTGAGGCCCTCAAGCAAAGCTGTAGCTTCTGCTGATTGGGAATCTGAGTGTCCTATAAACTTTGAGAAAGAAGCCACGGTGGGACCCTTTGTGGTGTGGTCTCTAAAAAGACTTCCTATACCTGACGGCCCTGGATTGCCTAAGGAACAGCCATCAAAGTTGACCTTTACGTATCTCGGCTCAAGATGAAGCCACAAGGAGGCTCAGGGGATGCTTTGTTGGTAGAAAGAGGAAATCATACCAATGTAAGTGGAAGGCTGACGGAGGAAGCCTTTGAACCACTTGTGATTGGTCGCCCAGAAGATAACCGCAACGTTGATCCTGTCAAACAAGGCATCAGTGATGGAGAACCGCCCTCAGAACTCGGAAGATATGATTGTTATGTTCTATCCAAACCTCCCAAATGAGGACTGCCATTGAAGCCTTCCACAGTATGACGCCTGAACAGGCCCAGGGGTAGGGGTGAAGAGAGGAATAGACGATGGGAACATTTCTTGGAGTCACCTCCATTTGAAGAGCTGAAGAAGGGCTCACCACAACAAATGAACCAAGGGACAATGTATAAAGAGGTGAGGGTTTGTTTCCTGGGCTTCACGGCACATGACACACATAATCAATTTTGTATAATCATATCTCTCGTGAGTTTTCTAATCTATGAATATGGGTAAAAAATAAATGCACAGAAGCACGAGCAAAAAATCTGATACATGATCAAAGGTACGAGTGTGACTAAAACAAGCCCAGGAGCTGAGAATGGCTGTCTAGCATGAATTAGTGAATTGGTGACTACTGTTCAACATTATACGAGAACTTCCCCATAAATTTACAGTGCCATTATGAATTCACAGTGAACCACATTAAGGGTAGTATAAGGATTTAGTGTGATATAATAACATGCTAAACTATCGATACAAGGAAAGCAATTCGGCATGCAGGATACCACAGTTACTCCAGGACTTTAATTACAATGAAGACCAGGATAGCATGAATAGAACTAGAGCACCCAAATCCCAGTCAAGTCTCCATATCTGACAAAGACAAAACAGAATGAGGATTTGGAGGCCCAGAATGCTGCGATTTGTCCACTATGGACAACGGACACAAGGATAAAATGCCGTCAAAAGGAAATTCTTATTCCTGTCATTCAAAATGATTCACTAAGCCTCCTATCCTCCATTTTTTGTACACTAGAAACTCCATCTTTTTGTTTCTTTTTGGGAACCAGTTAACTTTTGTATTGAAGGAAAGGTGCACAAGATACAAAAAAAGGCCACCCGGTGGCCAGGTGCTGTAGAAAAGCTCTAGTTTTGTTAGGACAGCTAGCTTCACTTTTGCTTTACTCTTGAAACATAGGCTCAGTTAGCACTCTGGGATGAGGTTCATATTTGAAATCATAATTGAGAAGTTTCCTGTGCACATACTGTAGGGGTTTTGGACCGGGATCCTGCTTTGAAGCCGAACTCCTTGCCTTTCAACAAGGGTCCACTTAGCAATTGCCATTAATCCTAAGGGCATCCAGATTGAGTCAGACTTGAGTCTTACAGCCATTGATTGTTCACTTGGAAAAGGTAGCCTGCATTGGCATTGCTCCACACTCATCAAATAATTGTAGGAGGGTTTGGACAGGACTGCATTGCAGACCTACTGTGAAAGAAGACTCCAAGAATGGTTGGCGAACTTCAGATATGGTTCCCAAACAGGGATTTTTAGGCCTGCTCTCAGCCTAATGGCCTCTGAAAGTTGTTCTGTGTGGATATGATTTTCCTTCATTTTTTTTCCATAATGTTTGTCTAATCTTCTTGAACCTAATTGGGTTCCCTTGCTTCCAATTAAGACGATTCACTCGTCCTCTACGTTTTATTTCAATAATAAAACTACATATTCTCCTAAAAAACGACTAATTTTATTTATTTATTCAGTTTTATAACCAGTTAGGTGGCATAAACCATAGTTACCCGAAGAGATTCAGAAGCCGAATCGATTTAGTAATCAGAAGCGTGGAATTTCCATCGGCAAGAAGATTCATGTTTTTGGAATCGACGTCCGTACAAGAGGAATTGTTGGAGACAAGATTCCTATTTGTAAGAATCGAGATTCGACCAAAATAGAATCGAGATCCCTACATAGATGGAATCGAGATTCTTGACTCTATGGAATCGAGAACCAAGCTGGAACCGATCAATATGGAATCGAGATTCCTTCATTTATGGAATCGAGATTCTGACATCTTTGGATTCAAGAGGGAACTGTGAGGAAAACAATACATTACTCAATGTCATTCATTGACCTAGAAGCCACACATGCACTTTTACATAATTTGTATAACATTATTTCTAACATCTTGGAATTGCAATGTCTCCATTGGATCAATAAAATGCATAATTAAAGAACTAAGTAGAAAGCATGGACCGCCACTTTGGTTTCTATTCGTCATTTCATGACCAAAAAGATGACAACACCTTGTAGATGGAGATTGAGTGTCTAGCTCAAGTAGTTTGATGCCTCGAAAACTTCTAAACATCACTTCTCAGAAAAAAGCAAAAAGGACAAAAAAAAAAGGTAAGTGGTAGAATTTCAGTAAATGTAGAAACCAATTTCAACAAGTGTAGAATCGAGATTTCACCAAGTGTGCAATTGAGAATCAATAAATATTAGAAATGAGATGCTATAAGTGTTGGAATCGAGATTCCTAAAATAAGGAATCGAGATTCTCGACTTCACAGAAGTGGGTTCCTTGAAGATTTCTAGTCGGAATCGCCAAATCAGGGTTTCAAATCTGAATCGCAACCTTCGGTGAGAGGTTCACGTAACTATTGCATAAAGTATTTTGTTTTCATTGTTTGCAGACATATGATTGCTAGTATCTCACTTTCATGTGTGCTTAAAACCATTATCTTTTTGGGGCTTAAGTTTTTCACAAATTCCATCAGAACTGCCCCTGAGACAAAAGGAATCCTCAGTTCACAAAGACCTAAGTGCCCCATAATGCTTACTTGTCTTATGTTTGCAGATTGAACTTCCTAAGAGTTTCTTCCACAATCTATAACAAGGTTCCAATCATGGAAATGGCCAATTTAAATCTACAAAGCACATAGTGGTGATACTTGGGGTACCATGGCTTTCAGCAGTGACAAAGATACACACACACACATATGCAACACATGCCTAATAACTAATCAAATTTTGGGTCTATTATAGTACATGATCACAGGGGCATTAGAGTAACTAATCTGACAGCTTTAAAAGAATAAAAGTATGATATATATTCAATCAGTCACTATAAAATGCTCCTAGAACCCAACATGATTCTCAGAACCCAGCATGTTTCTTTATTTTTGTTTTTCTGCTTTTGATGTGTAGAATCCAAAATGATTCTCAAATGCTAGTTGGACTATCACTATACAGTTTATATTTATTCTAAAAAATACATGTAATTACTGACAATGCAGCACTATAACAGGTCTACAATCAACAATCACCCATTATGTCATTCAACAGTAAGTGAAAAAAAAAAAAAAGGCATATTATAAAACTTGGAGGTCATCAAGGGAATTAGAAGAATGCAATTTAGAAACAAATATGATGAACACCGGAAACAACTTGGACGAGATAAGAAAGTTAACATCAGCCAAAAGATGCAGCTAACACTTGGTCTATCCTTTTACCGATATACACAAGGACATGTTCACAGGGTCAGAATCTCAAGTAGAAAAGACTATGTAGTTCTAACTTCTAAGATCCTTATAACATACCTCAGTACCTTTCTGATAAATTTTCGTACATTGCTCTTTACAAGAGAGTGATGACAGCATATTGAAAATAGACACAACATCAAGAAGTATCTGTTGAAGCATAAACATCACAAACCATAAGAATAAGAAAGTTCATAAGTTTAACAATCACTGGCATTATCTACAATAGCAGCAAAAAACACTGAACACCTGCATGAGTGACCAGAACTCTTTGAAGTGTTCAGATAGAAGAAAAATAAAAAACAAAAAACAAAAAGAAGAAGAATCCTTTGATGTGTGTTAATGTTACAACACTTGTTTCACACCCCTAATATAGAAGTAGCCATGTAAATGGGTTGCTCAAACCTGACCCCGATGCTACATGGCATGGTCCAGAGTGGACCAACACTTAACCCAACTGGTAGCGTCTAGGTTGAAATATATATACTTAATTGGGTAAGGCTTGGATGATAATGAATTGATGATATATATAGACATACTAGGCCAGGTTGGGACAGTCATCCGCCTTCGTGCTGGGTCCACCTAGGGATTCCAGACTTGACCTGGATGGGGTTGATTATCACCCTTACATAGGCAAAATAATCAACTTGCCATCAGAGAGGAGTGATTGACGTGCCCTATTTCAAGAACTCTAACCCAGAATTGTGAATAATACCTAAGAACAAGATTCTCGAAGTCTAAATTAAGGAAAAATATATTATGCCTTGGGGTATGCCCATAGCAGGCATCCCCCATTAACCCAGTATTGAATGGTAAAAATTGGTCAGAGCATGGACATTTATCTGTACATACAGTATGATCCTAACCTCACCAATCCAATCTTTAGAGTCCATCCCTGCTCAGACAGTGGATGCTCCCACAGGGGCATTCCTTGCCATGGGCCTTGGTAACAATTCTTATTCTCCATAAACTAGTAAGTCAGGTTTCTAACAATACTATTAATGAAAAATGAATTGATCTGTTTGCTTTGTCTTCTTGAAGGTCACCTAAAGAACACACCAAATAAACATGATTTAATGCTCAAATCCTGAAAGTACGAGAAGATAGAACAGGGCATGCCACCAGTTCAAGAAAAACAAGTTTCTCACCAGAGAACTTTTGGATAATCAACTCTCATTAAGAATCAAAATGAGAAGTGTAACTCCTATGGGAAAAATCAACCATTATGCATGATTGTTTATCGCATTACACGACTTTCTAAAATCTGCTCCAAGGAGAGGGCTACTTTGTATCAGTCATGGTCACCTTGATGTAAAAGGTTTCTATGATGCAGATTAGGCTGGGCATTCTCTTCATCGACGATCCACCACTGGTTACTTATGACAGTGGGTGGTAATTTTGTCACCTGGAAGAGTAAGAAGCTAAGTGTTGTAGCTCAATCTTCAGTAGACAAACATTTAGCAATAGCTAGTGCAACATGTGAAATAATACGGCTCCATTCTCTTTTTCAAGGAGGGAATATGTCAGCTCCTATTCCTCTATATTGTTATAATCAAGCGACAATTAATATTGCCTCAAATCCTGTATTTCATGAAAGAACAAAGCATATTGAAGTCGACTGTCACTTCGTCAGAGAAAAGGTCACTTCAAAAACAATATGTCCTCCATTTGTTCGATCTGAGAATCCATTGGCAAACATAATTACCAAGGCTTACAATCAACTTCGACTAAATGATCCTTTGGACAAGCTGAGCACCTATGATATACAAGAATCAATTGGCAAAATAGTTACCAAGCAATATAATCAAGTTCGACCAAATGATCCTTTGGACAAGCTGGGCATCTATGATATACATGCTCCAACTTGAGGAGTGTAGTGACTATTATGAGCCCTACGCCCATTAAAGAAACATGCAATATAATTATTATGGCCTCATGCCCATTAAAGAAACCTGCATGTGGCGATAATGCGTATAATATCTTACCATATCTTGGTGATTTTCCTGCTCTAACAATGATCATATTTGGATGATTTTCTTGTTGTAACAATCATGCATAATGGTTGTACCTCCTATGCACGTTGACCTACCTTATTGTGACTCCCATAGGGATCTATGTGTGCATAGCGTACATTGTTCCACGATTTTTAGAGAGTGAAAAAGGCATCTATATTTGCTTTATCTTATGCTTGAATATTACTTTCTTTTCTCTGAATCTTAACAAGACGTGTAAACCAAATTCTAGGAGAAGAATGTTCCATGAAAAGCATCAAGGGAAAAATAGACTGTCCCCAACCAAAAGGGCTACCTCTCCACATTCCCCCTCTAGCTAGGTAATTAGACTCAATTTTACAATCTCTAAGAATGTGATGAAAGAGATCACCACTAATTCACTAATGACAAGAATCTAATTCATCTGAAATCTTCTATGGAAATGGTGGCTCTCAGCATTCCCACCAAACAATTATAAGCAAATCACTAGCCATCATCCAAGGGCTGCACAAATATGGCAAGAACACCTTGGTGCTGGTGACGAGACCACCAACTTCCACCTAAATGAGAATCACAATTACCGGGTGACCTTGCATGAACTTTCTGCCTTAAATAGCCTCTCATGTCTGCTCCAAACAATAGCACCCAAGCCTAGGGGACATCTATTTCCCTCTAACAGCTGGCACCAATGAGTTTTTTGTATATAGGTATCGAGATTTCGCTGAGTCGAATTTTCTTCCATGTAAAACTTAGGTGATCCACATAATCCCATCGAACTCATAGGGAGCAAGATCCATGAAATCATAGCAATCCTAATACGTTATCTAATAACCTGGCTTTCCTATTTATATGCCTGCAAGATGCTAATGTTTCTCACTTTCAAATATCTTGTATGATTGCTTAGGGGAAAAATATTTAAGGTACGTCTCTATGCAGAAAATGAGCAACTCAAGGAGCCAACTCTGGCATCATACAAAAAGGTATAGGGATATGAGAAGGAAAACAAGGCCCAACTTACCAAAGAGCAATGCAACAGTAAGGGCTCCCAGATCCTGTTCCTCATTGCACCCTACACATTCGGATACAAGCAAAACCACCACCTTAAAGATGATTCCACATGAGGACCTAGCACTAGCGGAATACATCCAAATGCAAGCTTTTAGCAGTGCCAAACTATTCAAGAGTAGAAGACCACCTTAAATCCTGAAACTAAAAGGTCCCCAAATAAATGACTACTTGAGGACTGAGCTTTCAGGCTATATATGTCAGTTCTAAGCTCCTTTGAAACGCACTCGACTCATCAATCTCCAAGTTCCCTCCTAAAACTTGGGCGGATTGCACTCCTTTGAAACACACTCAACTCATCAATCTCCAAGTTGCTCAAGTCCCTCCTAAAACTTGGGCACCATGCAATCAGCTTCATTTAGTTTTTCCATAAGCTAAAAGCTAAGAGCCAGGCCATGAAACCTCACTTGTATTGCTTGAATATATAGAATGTGAAACAATACAGAAGGTGATGGTAATAGCTAGAAGCTTCACGGAGTAGTGAGTACATGAAGAGAATTTTTATAACAAGAAAACCAAGCCATGACAGGTTTCCATAGGACAAAGATAAAGGCTCCAAAAGATGTGTGGACTTTCATTAGCAAACTTCTTCGTAATGGTTTCCCTAAGCATCCAAAATAAAAGACGAAAACAAAAAGCAAAACTTAACCAAGTATTCACCGTTTAGTCAAAAGAAATACTCCGTTACAAAGCTAGTTTATTTATTCAAAAGATCCACTTCTAAAGATATGTGACCCTTTTTCTCATGACAATCTCCATTTACAGGTTTATTAGATACTTATTTAAAAGGAAAGAAAATGTAAAGTCGTGACATTTCTTGGTAGTTTATCACTTTCACATGCTCATTCATGAAAATATTAATACAGAAACAAGCTCATAAAGCTAAAAGATAATAATGTTTACCTGTTGGAGCAAAACACGAAGGCGCGCAAGCACGGCCAGAATCGTTAAAGCCAACGCCATGAAGAAAGATTGAGCTAGCAAAGATGATATCTGACTACAAAAGTATTAAGGACATCTTTTGTTTGTATAGGAGAAGAGAGTTTACAACATATTCCCTTTAAGACATATCCACTTATGTAATAAAAATAGAAAGCTCTCCATAAAGAATGAAAGCATTTAACAGAAAAGTATTCATTGATACTGTTTACCTTTGGTACAAAATGGTAGACAACACCTGAAGCCATTAACTGCGAAATTGGGCGGTGAGTCTATCACTAAACGCAAATAAAATCCAAGATAATTTTCCTTGGATTTAAGTGCAGACCCCAGCCATCAACATTCACATCTAACGGCTTAAATTGTTTTTGCCTTTTTACCAAAGGTAAATGGGCACTATACTGTTGAAAGCAGTGGCTATGTAGAATTCCAAAGTATAAATTAAAAAAAAAAGAGCTTCTTTTCTTTATTAATAGATGGAATTTCTACTTACAACTACGGCAATCATCATCATCAAAACCTTTTCCCAACACAATTACCACAATAGAATGCAAAAATAAAACCTACTGCACAGTCTAGGATCTTTAATTCCTATTGCCAAGAAATCTTTATTCAAAATTTGAATTTGAACTTACAACTTAGGAAATAACAAAACTTTATTCAAATTTGAATTTGTACTTACAACTTAGGAAATAACATAAAACAAGAATAGAATTAAATAAATAAAATTTGGAAAGACATCCTGAACTTTTTGACTAGGGTTACCCCCTTGGGATTTGGTACACCCCACACCCGATCGCTTAACCGAAGGCGGACTTGATCATTAGATCCTACTAAATCCACCAATCGAAATTGAGAAGAACGTCCTTGAACATCCTTATCTGAAATCCATGGGATTGAAAGCATGGGTCACGATTAGAGTTTCTTAAAACCTTTTTAAACCTTGGGGCATGCCACTAAGTGGCACCACCCCTAGCTTAGTCTAGGTTTGGGCGTGCCCCCTTGGTCTCTGTCTCTTGGATGGTGCGTGCCTCCCCAATATACTTATGGGGTGGTGGCATGCTACCCAGAGAGGAGAGAGGGAGCTAGAGAGAGAGAGAGAGAGATGGCATGGAGAGGAGAGAGAGAAAGAGGCCGACAACTGAAGGTATGTAGAGAATGAGGGGTTCCCCTCATATAGGCCTCAAAGGCCATAGGGTGTTCCAATCAAATTAGAATTTTGCGTTATCTAGAAAATATTTACATAATCTGTGAGGGATATACTCTGAGCCATCTATCCCTGAAATCAGCCATCATGATTTAGGGAAGAATTTTCATAACCTTATCCCCTGAATTCGACCTATTATCCACTTCTAATCTATCTAGACTTTTGACGAATCAAACTTCAATTCCTTTTATCTACAAAGGGATGTTTAGGAATTCAAAAAAAAAAAAAAAACTTGATCAAAGTAATCTCGATCCCATAAATATCTCACAAAATAATTTTCACTAAGATATCTCAAAATATTTTCAATTGACTAAATATTTTTCATTAATTAAAAACTTGACACCTCACAAGTTTCCCAAATTAACATGAACACGGCATCATGGACGTCCCACTATGTGAACCATGTGAGGGCTGGGGCCTTAGCCCCCAACGTGGGTACCACCACATAATTTCGAAAACACCCATTTATCAAGAAAATTTCATAAATAACCTCTCAAGGGTTTTACTCATTTAAATCAATTTTAAATTCTAAAAATATCCAAAAATTGCATAAACAAAAAACTACTGATAAAAACAATATTTACGGGGTTCTTAAAAAAATTAAAACACATAGAAATACTCCTAGAAGTGGATTGGTTCCAATAGGTCAAAAATAAGTGACTGCCAGGGCACGCCACCCATGCCAAGATCCATGTCCACAACTGTCTTCTCAATCCAACGCAACAGGAACCATGACCCACAGTCATATGCAGGGTCCATGATTGGACTGTCAAAGCTAGCTAATGACCAGTAAAACCATGATCTTAGTATGTGCATTACAGGTTACCCTCCTTAAAAGCAAGTCAAATGCACATTTCACCATAGTACAAGGGGGCTCTCTCTATATACATGTACAGACATCCTTTTATAGAGTTGCTTCCAAAATGCGGTTGTCATTTGTATATGTCATGCAAAAGTTTTATTGAGGATTTGGCCCTCGCTCTTACAACCCTACATCCACACACAGGAGACCATAAAGCTCTCCTAGCCTAAAAAAATGATCATGGGCATCTCTCTGACCTCAACAAGGGATGATCCTCCATAAACCCTCAAACTCCAATAATTGTCCCATTTTAACTATGCATACTAAAAAAACATTTAATGGAAATAGCTGCCAATGGATACAAAGGAATATAAAGAAAAAATAGAAGCCAATGGCATTCCACACATATGCTTTCAAATATGCTGAACTAGCAATCAAGCATGGTTCAATTGCCATCTGGGAGTGTCTGATCGACCACCTCCCCCCCCCTCCAAAACAAAAAACAAAAAACAAAAAACAAAAAAAAAAGAAGCATCCAAACTGCAAGTTATCTTCAATACTAATGGTCTATTTTCCAAAGAAATTCATGGTTTAAAAATAGCAAGGATTAGCGACCGCATCAAACATATATGTTGACCATTAATGATGGTCATGCACTAAAATTAATTAGCTTGCATGATGTCAAGTGAACCAAAGACATTAAGCCAGCTACTTTTAGGATACATTCCAGCCTTTATTATGGGCTCAACCATCTGCAATGAAAGAACACCATTAGTTGCATTGGGAGATCATCAAGCAATGACAATAATCATCTAGAAAGGACAATCACAAACTATGAACATGCAGATAGGAGAGGAATTTAAACCAAAACACACAATGTGAAAGTTATTCGTACAAAGGCTACATGCAAATTTCTGTGGTCCACTGAGAAATGTATAGAAACAAAAAAATATGTCCTGCCCCACAAAAGATTTTTTCAATAGTAAATGAAGAAAGACAGAAAAGAAAGCCCACAACCAACCACCATTATATGCAAGCTCTAAATCAATGTTTTAGAAGTCAGACCTCGCACTAGGCTCACCAGTGGAACAAATCCAATAAACACCTGAAGCCCAAGTGACAATGGGGATGTATGATCAGAGCCAATAACAAGTAGGGCCAAGTCTAACCAAATAGCAGAAACATTGGCTCAGATATGAGTCACTATGATGGGTCACTATGAACTTCTATTTGGAGGTTTGTTATAAAGAAACAAAAAAATATGTCCAAGACCCACAAAAGATTTGTGAATAGTAACTGAAGAAATGCATAAAAAAGAAAGCCACAAACCACCATTCTATGCAAGCTCTAAATCAAAGTTTCAGAAGTCAGACCTGGCAATAGGTTTGCCTATGGAAGCAATCCAGTAAACTACATGGAACCCAAGTGATAATGGGGATGTACGATCTAAGCCGAGAACAAGTAGGGCGAAGTCTAACCAAATAACAGAAACATTTGGCTTAGATATGGGTCAATATGAACTTTTATTTGGAGGTTAGAAAGATAATTGAACTCGAGCAAATCTCAGTCAGTTTAATGAATATTAGCACATCATTAAAATAGTAGCCAGCAGTAAAATGCTTGCAAAAGGGCTCAACGAGGAGTTGAAAAAGAGTAACTTCTCTTCGAAAGAACCAATAATTCACAAGTTTCAAACTCCTTTAAAAAGTGAGAATAATAATCTAACACAAGTTTCAACTTACTAAATATGACAAAAGATAATCCCGTCAGCTCTTTAAACTTTTATTTGATACGCACAATAATGAAGTAATAGCGCTATGACAAGAACATACAAATACCATTTTATGACACCTGAAGAAAACATTTATAGCCTCTATTCCATGGTATAAATAAAAGGCAAACATTACAATAAGAAAATGATGATCTGGAAAGACTAGCAAATGGAACAAAGTACCTGTGCTAGTAACCGACCAACTCCTAGTAACCGTTCCTGTATATTCTCCCTTCTTCCACTTCCATTCCTTTTTTTCTTTAATCTGCAATAGGAATTCAGTGTATTTAAAGGTTTAAAATCATTTTTCTGCAACATTATATTATTATACAAAATTACAACCTAGAGTCCGAGACCATCTCCAAGCTACAAGAAGATAAACTTAAAAATCAACTCAAACATGGACGAAGGTAAGTGCAAGAACGTGGATGTCAACCACGCCCACCTAGGGAAAGGCAGTCAACAATTTTGATTTGGTTAAAGAAACTAGTTAACATGCTTTCCTAGTCACACGTTATTGAGGCAAAGGAAATAAATCACACGAACCTTTAAATTGAAGAAAAACATGCAATTGATCCACCTATATAGGTTGTAAATGACAGCTTAACAAGATTCTAACTTTAAACAAGAAAAAACAAAGCTACTAACTTCTTCAAATAGAAACAAAGAAAGCCACTATTGCATCAAAAGTTTCCCAGCCCTAGATTGCATTCGTGGTTTACTTACACCGCAATATCACACAAATAGCCCAATTTCTGGAGAAAATAAGCCAAAGATGTGATATTCTTATTATTTTGGAAACAATATAAGCAATTATTTTGCAACCCAAATATATATACATGAAAAAGTCTTAAAATTGCCATAGGGTGAAATTGAATAGTGTTTCGCCCCGCAACGTCTCTTGTAAAGCTATTTACGGTTTTGCCTTAAAAGTCAACAACTTTTGTAGAGCCGTTGCAGTTTCCCATGTTTTTTGCGTGAAAAATCTACCGCACCAAACATGCGACATCCAGTGCGGTTGATTTATCCACGCCATCCGAAAAAAATCGAACCGCGTCGAGCCTATGGGCGAAAACATAGTTCATTTTTGCCAATAGGCGTTGTGCAGTGGCTTCGTGTATAGATACATATAAGGTTGCAACCTTAAAATGTAGAATTATAGCTGCACCTCAAAAATCCATAGAAAAAGGTTGCTTTAATATTGAAAAACCATCTAATTGATCATCTCGACATCGAGATGTATGAATATGAAAAAAAAAGGATTTTGAATTCCAAAAATAGTGCATCTTGCAACACTTTATCTAGACCGTCCATTTTCAAGATTTTCATATGCTTATAGTCTACTAGATTTTAACCATTTTTGGGGTTTCGTGCTTAGGGTTTAGGGTTTTGCGTTTAGGGTTAGGGTTTTGCGTTTAGGGTTTCGGGTTTAGAGTTTAAACTTTTATAATTAGATATGAAAATAGATTTTAAGATAATCCTAATAATTATTTACACCAAAATTATATATTATGATAAAATTTAGAGGTGCGACTTAATTGGATTGTTTAAGGTTGCAACCTTATAGAAACCGCATATCTATATATATATATATATATATATATACATGTGTGTGTGTGTGTGTGTGCACACACACATATCTTGAAAATGAAAATTTTGACCCCGAAGTCATCAAAAGGCCCATAATTGTGTTTGTCAACCACATGCTTTGCTTGAAGTCCTTCGCTAGGTCTTGAAACTCCATATTGCACAATTATCCAATATTTTTTACTAACCAATTCAATCCCATTAACCACATTAATGGACTCTACTACAATTATTAATAGACGAAGAGAGTACCACAATGGCCCCCATTAAAGGAGACTTTGCGCCTTCCTGAAAAGTGAAAACATACTCTAGTACATTCCTCAACACTAGGTCTATCCAATCTATAACTTGCCAAGTCCCTTCAGAACTTGCTTAAGCAACACCTTAGAACAACAACATCAAACCATATTTTGTCCACAATACTAGTAGTCCACAAATTTCCGTTTGGAGATGAGGAGATCTTCAAATATCATTGTCTCAGTAATATTCAAAGCTCAAGTGACCAAAGAAAACTGTCACCCAAAACTTTGGACGAAGTCTGTAGGTAGTTCTCCAATCTTTCTATAACAACCTTGGTCATCACAAATAATGCCATGAAGCATGACAGAATGTTGAACAGAAGTGCCTTGAAGAAAGTAATATGGCCATCCAAATTTATACATTTGTTTAGGAGGCGAAATTCTGTTCAAATTCCTCCACTATAAGATCCCAAATGTGACCTCTCTAAGGGATCCATTTCTATACCCCAACCCTGTCCAGTCTCACTTGGCATCATAGATCCACCTACATGTCCATCATCTGGTCGGAATCTGTATAAGGACAACCATAGAAACTGATATAGGCAAGCAGAGGCACAATTGAACAACCCTAGACCATCCTGGAAACCTCGCAATCAATTCACTACTGACTACGTAACCCACAGCATAATGTAAAAATAATACATATGGTAAACAAATATGTAATACAGAGTTATCATACCTCAAACCTCTTGCAATGAAAATAGACTGCCATTCAAAGATGTCTCATGACACCAATTCATACAAGATGACAATATTGCATATCTAATGATGTTTACTGCACAAAGTTAACAGATTCCAACAAAAAAATAATGATGTTCACTGCACATTACCAATTGAAATAAGCCACACCTCACATAAACAGTAATAAGAAATTTAGAGTTTCAAATAATAGAACAGCAAGAAAGAAGATGTGAAGAAACATTTACCTCTCAAGAAGATGGACTTTCAGAGTAGGTTTCTTTCCGTTGACAGCTTGAAAAAAGGAATTTATAATATCTTCTAAGCCAGCTGATTTAAATAGCTTCAGATCTCTTCTCACCTAAGCCATAAAAATAACATATAATTGACATCATGCAGAATATCTGAAAAACAGTCTCAATGCTTCCACAAAAAAAAAAAAACTGGACAAGTATAATCTCAACTGACCATAATAACATTGTATTTATTTGTCAATTATCCTTTCTTTTTAAAGGCTCTGTTGTCATTTATAACACATATGTGCCACATGCATCAAGAATGAAAATTTTACTTCGCATAGATATAAGTGAGATGAAAGTACCCTCATAAGCCATTGAAAGTATTGGCACCGTCTATGTTGATTTCTATTCTTGTACAAGAGTCTATCAAAGATATCAGACTCAATTTGTAGCTGAACAAGGTTTGATTTCAATTTCGTCTCAAACTCCTCGCATTTGAAATTGATAGCCATCTACAAGGTCATCACATGGAAGATGATGAAATTCAGGACAAAAGTTTCATCATGGAGCAATAGCTGCAATAACATGTCACTGAAAAGTACAGATTCAAAAAAAACATGTCTCTGAAAAGTACTATGGTTTTGAATTACTTAGTTAACATAGCAATAAACAAATGAGGAAAGTCCATTAGCTCAAAAACATGTGATAAAATACATATGCAGTGTGTTTTAGTGAATGTGTGTTGTTGCATAATAGAGATAGCTAGAAATCCCGGCTCCAGAAGTCCACCATATATCCAAATTAAAGTAATCTGGAAATAAGTCCAATATCCCTTTTTGCATGATAATTTGCTGAGGCACCCAGAACGACAAAATCCATAATTTTCTTTTTTAAAGTTTGATGCTCCTATCAACAACTAATTGAGAATTCTTGTATGCAATTTTCTCCCTTTGTGATCTAAGAATATGATTAAACAATGTCTTGAAATAATTATTAAAAATAGTAAATCATTATAAAAAGTTTCTTCAGGAATTTTGTCAGGTAAAACTACTAAAAGTTAGTAATGATTGATTTGCATAAAGGGATAATTTACAATTCACACCCTTCAAAATACAAAAGTTAATGTTAGAATGAATTTTGAAGGATGGATTTACTACTTATGTGGTTTCTTTTTAAAAAAAAGAGTTGCTTTTTGTGGTATCTTGTTCATCAAATAAGGTCATTTGTGTAAATATCACTAACAGACAAGGTGTACACTTGTTATCTTCATAAGGGATAAAGTATAAATTTTACTAAATCACAAGGGTAGTATACGAATAAAGTTCTAGGACGCTAATTTCAAAATACCATTGTACTTTTGAAAAGAATTCAAATTTATCCTTAATGATTAAATCAATTATTAAAGTAATTTTTTAAACAAAAAGTAGTGATGTTTTGACAAATACAACCATTACAGCCCATTCTAACATCAACCTTTGTATTTTGAGGTTAACTTTCTAGACAAACCCTTATCTAAATAAGGGACATTTACATATAGATATGTTATAAGAGATCTAAGCTTAAAAAGGGACCGCCTATTTTACAATTTATGCAAACATCCCACTATTTCTTTCAACCTTTTATCTCAAAAGTACCCCGACTGTGGAACGCGATTTCTTAACCTTTGTATTTTTCATTGCTTGGTGGATGTAGGAACAAGGGTTCCAATTTTAAGATCGCTTTTAAAACTCCATGGAAGAAGTAACTTATGGTTGCCCAGGATTTTGGAATCGTTCTTGGACCACCCTGTTCCGCTGATCGTGTGTGACGGTGCTTAAAAATATGGCTACTTGTTCATCAACTGTCAAATATCTTGTATATGTAATGTTTGTCCTCTCCTTTAACAAATTACATAGACTAATAAAAGCATTTTTCTCCATTCGTAACTTGTCGAAGTACTTACGATGGTGCCCTAACAGCAAGTATTGGACATATTTGGCCCCAATAAAAATTGAAGTATGAACACGCCCCCTCCTCATTTGGGTAGTGATATACCAATATGTAATGCAACACATTGTATATGCAGCACTTAATATTACTACCAACCGATGTCGTCGGGGATCCATAACTACAAAGGACAAGGCTAACAATACTCATCATTTATAATCAAACCATTATATGACTTCAACTATAAAACAAATATAAATAAGATGGTATACATAAAGTAAAAAACTTCAACCATAAAGCAAACTTTATAACATGCAAACCATAAAGCAATCTTAATCAAACCATTATATGAAAGAAGTTACCCACATCCATAAAGCAAATATAAATAAGATGATATACATAAAGTAAAAAACTTCAGCCATAAAGCCAACCACAACCATTGATGTTAAAGTAAATCCATAATTGGTCACTGCCCAGGTACCATAATAAAATACAAAAAGGTCTATCCAAAACCATAAAACAACTTTCAAACATAGCCAATCAAATATCTATTGAAGGCGTTTCATCTCCCGATCCAAGTAAGCCCTTTGTATCCTTCGATCCTCCAAGTTTAGTAACATCTCCGCCTTTGTAGAATCTTGGAAGATCGTTGTCGCCGTTAAAAGGACTTCATCACTAACTTCACCTGCTTTCCACATGCCTTCAACAATCTTAAAGGCATCTCTCCTGGCCTTAGACGGACCATCCCCCACTGGAGCAATGACAGGACGAGTACTGCTTCTACCTGCGATGTCACATGCCAGCATCTTAATGCTCTGAGCCATCTCTGTCATGGCTTTAGTCATGGACTCAGCGAGGGAGGGTTGCTTTGATTGGCGATATTTTCTTATCGGAGTATGGGACCGTCGTCTTTTTGATCCAGATGATACTAGGCCATCACGTGAGGATGAGCTAGATTCATACTGGACTTCTAAGGGGGGGTCATCAGAGAATGCAGTGTTGGGCCTTTCTGGCTCATTTCTAATGCCACCCCCAATCAATTTGGGAGTCCCATCTGTCGTGCCACCCTCATAGATCTTACATAGTAGCGAATAGTCGGGCAAGGTCTTGTTATGATATTTATTTGCCCATTCATTCTCCTGCATATAGAAGACCTCAAATTCTTTTGAGCGATATTTGTATTTAAACATAGTCAACATTTTAAAAGTCTATGCAAATGAGTAATTACATACCGCTATGAAATCATTCCAAACAGCAACCTCGGCGATTACAATCCTCCTTGTACCATCCCATCTGAAACCAGATACAGCCATAAGCTTTTTTATGTCACGATACATGGTTCTAAAGAACTTATGCTTGCTCTTTAGCCTGGTTTCGGTGTTAATTGGCCCATACTTGGCCCTCATGGCTTCTACCATCCGTCCCCATGCACCTTTTTTAAAGCCCCCCCCGTTCCTCGCAGTCTTGGTCTCCTTCTCCATAAGATAGATAAAACAGTCCTCTTCTGATTGTGTCCATTGCAAATTTCTCTTGCCATCTATATTATCATTAGCCGTACTTGACGATGTATGTGGGTCCATCCTATTATAGGAAAACAACGGATTTATTATATTCTATGTAATCATCCGACACCACACATCCATTGCATACATCATTATAGGCTATGCTTCAATATACTTTATACAATCATCCAATTCTATCATTCCTTACATCACCACTCATCCATCTCAAACGAGAACTGTGGGAGAGAATCATGAATTGTGAGGACTTAGGGGTTTTATCCGAAAGATAACTAGGTGAGAGATTTCTGAGTAACTTAGAGCTTTGAACCAAGAATTTTGAGTAACTAAGAGTAATCAAGTGATCAACAAATAACAACAATATCAATCATATCAACATTTTTTTTACTTCTATCAACCCTATTAAGGGATTTCATTCAAAAGTTCCATCCTAATTTGTACTAGTTTGAGACATAAAGTGAGTTTTTTTGGAGCTACACACTTCTCAATAAGCTCAGGGGAAATAAACTATTCTCACCTACATTATAACAAAAGATTTATCTCCCTAAAATCGTATTTATAACCAAAGATTTATCTCCCTAAATGGGCTTTTTCAGTAAACTATCCATAACAAGCCCATCAGCTGAAAATAAATGTTAGCTTCTAAGTCAAGAACCCCAGAAAAGTCGAAAATTGCAAATGCTTTTGTACCCTCAAATATAACACAAGGCAATCGATTAACTAGAAAACATAATAACTTGAATCAAAAAATTGCAATTAGTTTCACAAATATTACTGATACGAAACCAACAATATCAAGTACAAAGATCTCCAATAGAAATAAAGCAATGCACTGTTGGTAACATACAGTTGTTGATTTCAGTCAAAAGAGATGATAATAGCACCCAATCACATCAATTTTGAAAAGAAAAAGAGCAATTGACAAAGGGTGAGAGAGGTACAACGTGGAACCAAATGTGCAATTCCAAGGGTATAACACAAACTGCATCATAAGGAACGATTACAAGTGTATTACACATTAAAAGATGATAGCCAATTTCCATATAACAAATGCAGCCAAGTACGATCATTCCATACAAAATAGCCTGCATAATGAAATAAAATCAGAAAAAAATAATTTGCTTAATAGCCACATAACTTGGGGTTAGAATTATAGGATTGCCCCAAATCATAGGATTTTACATGGAAGGTGGAAAATACTCAAACTGAGTCATATTAAAGACTGAGAAAACTAACTAACCATCACAAAATCAACAAAATCTCTCTGCCACTCTCTCTCCCACGTTAATCTTTTTCTCTCTCCCACTATTTTCTCTCTCTAGCTCATCCCCTTTTCACATGAATCTCTCTCCCCCATAAAATATTTCTTTAAATCTTCACTCCCATGAAAATCTCTCATAAAAATCTCTCTTTTAAATCTTTAACTCCTTATCGCTGTAGATCAAGCGTATCCACCCCTTTCCAAACTTTCATTTTACATCCTCTATTCTAGAAAATTTCCCTACCCCTCACGTGATCAACCCTCTCCCATCATTCTCTTTCTAATTATCTAACAATCCTACCAAAATAGGATGATGGAATCCTACAAACTAGGAAATCCATCCTATATAAAATAAAAATTCCTTTTTAACCCCTTTATGGATTTCCTTAACATTCAGGCCCAACAATAAATAAAAAAATAAATATTTTGGATGCGATTTGCATCAGATTCCCAATCTACAAACCCATCTCCCACTTATAAAATAAATAAACAAATAGGGAGTTGGTTCATACACCCAATGTCGAAATCCATCTCCCACTTACATAAAAAGTAAAAAGAAGTGGGTTTGATAATCCAATATCCATAACCATCTCCCACAGGCAAAAAATAAAACAGGAAGACGTTTGGACACCCAATGTCCAAACCTATTTCCTACTTACAAAATACATAGAAAAGGGAATGGGTCTGGACAACCAATGTCCAAACCCATCTTCCACTTATGAAAAATAGAAAGGAGGGGGTTTGGCCACCCAATATTCAAACCCACCTCCCACTCACAAAAACATAAATAAGGAGCAGGTTCAAACCCAATATTTAAACCCATCTCCCACATATAGAAAGGGAATGAGTTCAGACATTCAATCTCCCAACAAATCCTCCATTTACAAAACGTAGAAAAGGTGCGGGTAAAGTGGGTTCAGACACCCACGCCTGAACCCATGTCCCACTTATATATATATATATAGACACACACACACACACATAGGTAGATGTGTCCAATTGTTCCAAACTCAACATGGCAGATGAGATTGTGCAAAACAAAAATATAACATGCTTGACGGTTTTTCAATTAATAATGTTGCAAACAATGGGAACTTTTTTTTTTTTTTTTAAACTGGTGACTGAACAATGGGCACTATTTGAGATACCATAGAAGTTATTACATCTACACCTCACTTAGCTCAATCTTCTGGAATTTCAAGAAAATTAGCCCATAAGAAATGTTCAAAAGGTCGGATGCTCCTGCCTAGGCAGTGCTCAGGAGCAGGGACACACAAAACAAATAAATATTCACAGAATATTCGAATAAAAAATATTCACAAAATATTCAAAGTATTTGTTTATGCACTATTCAAAGTATTTGTTTTGCACTATTCACGAAATATATGCCCAAACTAGTAAATATTCACAAAACATTCCAACTACAAACATGTAAAAATATTAAAAAAGGAAAACAAAAAATAAAGGACTATGTAACACGTCATACAAAAAAAAATTATCAATAATTCAAATATTGTAATGCACTAAGCTTTTCAAAATTAATTCAATATAGGCCAAAACCGGGAAATATTAAAAAATATTTCAAATTTTCAAACTACAAACATGTAAAAATATCACAAAAAGAAAAAAATAATAAAAGAATATCAAATCATGACATGTAATACATGATTCAAATATTATAATGCACTAACATTTTCAAAATGAAAAGGATATCGGTCCAAACCAAACTGGTGATCTTTGGTTGCCAAAAGTCCTCTTATAAAACCACTTCAAGCTCCAAAAAGTGACGGGAACCATATCTTTTGATTTCACAAGGAATTGAAAATGTTGAAATTTATTTGATTTAGTGAAAAATCTCAAAATCTAAGCTTTTTGAGAGTTTTTCTTTTTATACAATGCATATAAAGGGTCTTTTTTTTTTTTGGGGGGGGGGGGGAGGAGGGGCTAAAATGCTCCTCAAAACCCTTTTCCCACCTTTTTAGGAAGGAAGTAAGCCCAAAATACCCTCGGCCAAGGGCAGAAATAGGCCCTTCGCCAGCTTGCATCGAGGCGCCACGTAGCACCCGCCTTAGGGTTGCCCGCCTAGGCAGGTGCCTAGACACATGACACCTAGGAAGCGTGCCTAGTGAGCACCTAAGCATTTTGGCATTCCGACCAACTAGGCGGCCGGGTAGCCAAATTTTTGAACCATGGCTATAACAAATATTTGAAACCTATGCAATATTAAGCTACAATTTTTACAAAATAAAAAGTTAAACAAGGTAGAAGCAAGAAACAAACCAATCGGTTGAATGTACATGAAGCAATCCAAATCATAAAACAAACATTTGTAAATCAGAAAATAAATAAGAAAGAAAAAACTAATAAAGCAATTCTTTGATATCATGTCTGAACAGTATGCAAGAACCATGTATCATGCTAATAAATTCATGACTTAAAACATATTTCTACTCACAAGGACATACAAAGATGAACTAATAGAGTGATAAATCCATCATTTTGCAAACCTCTCTCTCAATTTTAAATGTTATAAACTAAAGACATCACATGCAATTTTGACTAAAAACAAATGGTTCAATAGGTTAAAACAAGGCTGAGAGTAAAAATGTTTTACTTTTCCATGTTACCATATTACTTCCAAGAAAGTGCAGTAACTGGTAGTTGATTTTATATTAGCTGATAAGCCTATCGAAAATGCATTCCATTAGAATTTGATTATTTTTGTACAAAAACCAAAACATTGATCAACCAAAACAGGGGACACCAAAAGATTATAAGCATATAGAGAGAGAGAGAGAAGAGTAAGGGATTTGGAGAGGGGAGGTAGAGACAAGATTATAAGCATATAGAGAGAGAGAGAGAGAGAAGAGTGAGGAATTTGGAGAGGGGAGGGAGATATTCCAACGTGTATTATTCAACACTCAAAGTGCAAAACAAAGAGAGGGTTCCCATTATGGATGTTACAGCTTCAAGTTTCTAAATTCTCTCACACACACACATATGCATCAATATGAGAGGTCATCTTCATTAGTGGGTAGAGAAAAAGAGAGAGAGAAAAAGTTCAGTGCATGGAATTCATAGCATCAGAATTCATAGCATCTAAGCCTAAATTCTGCATCAGAGGAGGAGGGCTTCTTTTTGGGTAGGTAGACAGAAAGTGTATTTCAATCATGTATTTCAAACATCGTCCAAAATCCAGAAACCTAGAGAGAGAGTATTTCAATGAAGTATAGACCATTTACAGTATCATGTATTTTGTTTCCATGAGCTGCTTATATTGAGCTTTATCAAGTGATTCAAGTTTAGATCTATAAGACAAGTCTTCATACTTCTTTACCCTAGAGAGTTGTTACTCTAGAGAGACAAGTCTTCCCACTTCGTTAGAAGTATAAATTAGAAGTTCCTGAAAAAGTTTCTGGTGTCTGTGTTTGATAACATCTTGGGAAGTTAAGAAGTTCTTGGCTTTTTTGTTTGATAACCTCTTGGGAAGTTAAGAAGTTCCCGGTTTTTGTGTTTGATAACCTCCTGGGAAGTTAAAGAAGAAGTGAAGAAGTTCCTGGTTTCTGTGTTTGATAACCTCTTGGGAAGTTAAAAAAGAACTAGGTATCTATATTGGATTAGCTTTAAGTAATAGGCAAGATGTAAATGTTAAAATTGACACCTAGATATTATTTATTTTTTATTAATTTGTAGAATATTATTTTTTGGAATACAATATCAATTGAAAGTAAAGTACAATATTATTTTTCTGTAAGAACTTGAGCACTACGTATATTCACCACTGATGCATCCATATCCCAACCTAAAAAATGTACGTCATTCACAATTCAAAAATATACGTCATTCACAAGTCATGCACATAACATTTGTGCGTTCTCTCTCTAAGATTATAATGGCACACAACATTTATATGTTCTCTATTAAGGCATTTGTGATGCATGTCAAGCAACATTCACAATTCATGCATCCATATAGAAGCATGTACAAAACCAGCCCATTCAACAATAACCTGTAATAGTTTAAACGTACATAATTAAAAATTCAAGCAGTAAGAAATCAGCCCATTCAAACACACATGCACAATGCAAGCAATAAGAAATCAGCCCATTCAACAATAACCTGTAATAACGTGAGCACTACTTAACAGTCACCACTGATGCATCCATATCCCAACCTAAAAGATATACGCCATTCACAATTCAAAAATATACGTCATTCACAAGTCATGCACACAACATTTATGTGTTCTCTCTCTCTAAGATTATAATGGCACACAACATTTGTATGTTATATGTTAAGATATTTGTGATGCATGACAAGCAACATTCACAATTCATGGATCCATATATAACCATGTACAAAACCAGCGCATTCAACAATAACCTGTAATAGTTTAAACATACATAATTGCAAGCAGTAAGAAATCAGCCCATTCAAACACATATGCACAATGCAAGCAGTAAGAAATCAACCCATTCAACAATAACCTGTAATAACTTGAGCACTACTTACATTCACCATTGATGCATCCATATCCCAACCTAAAAAATATACGTCACCCACAATTCAAAAATATACGCCATTCACAAGCCATGCACACAACATTTGTGTGTTTTCTCTCTATCTCTCTCTCTAAGATTATAATGGCACACAACATTTGTATGTTATCTGTTAAGACATTTGTGATGCATGTCAATTGTGATGCATGTCAAGCAACATTCACAATTCATGCATCCATATATAACCATGTACAAAACCAGCCCATTCAACACTAACCTGTAATAGTTTAAACATACATAATTGACATGCCCACATCATAGTTGTAATAAGAAAATAAAAATGTTGGTAATTCATGCATTTCTAGTTTGCATAAAAAGATATAAACAAACCCACATCATAGCTGTATATCTTAGAAAAAATATATCAGATTTCGTGAACCCACAAGCATTATTCTTAAAAAAGAAAGATAACAAAATGAGTATGGTAGCTACAGCATTCATAATTGGAGCTAAGTAAAACTCAACAAACCAAAAAACGAAAATCACAAAAAAGTAAGCAAGATTATTCTCAATTCCAGTAAAATTCAGAATTTTATTCACAAATAGGAAGCAAGATTAGCCCTATATCACAAAGAAAATAGTCAAAACCCAAATACAAAAATAACCAAAAGTAAGAAGAAAATGAAAATGTTGGTAATTCATGCACATCTTGTTTGCATAAAAAGATATAAACAAAACCCAAATCATAGTTGTATACCTTAGAAAAAATATATCAGATTCATGAACCCATAAGCATTAAGTAAAATTCAACAAACCCAAACATTAAAAATAACAAAAAAGTAATATTCCTATAGTTACTCACTCATGAAAAAACTCCCAAGCCATATGCATTGAAAAACTCTTGTAGTTTTTCAAAAAATATAAAAAATAGCCACAAGTTGCATTCATTTGCTGCTTTTTCAGTATTTTTATCTCTTCATTTTGTTAACACTTTGGTGAGCTCGTTGTTACGACTCAAAAAAGCAAATTTAAGAAGTTGAAAACCAAAAGAACAAATATGATAAACTCCAGCCAGAAAGGATCAAATCAAATAACCATAGATCAGTAACAAAAACATTAAATAAGAAGGAATTGAAATAACCAAAACGACTCAAATAACCAAGAACCAAGAAACACAAACCTCATAGAAACCAATTAAAAATATATCAGGCCATCTTCCTGAAACCAATCGTATATTCAATATATTGATTCAAAACATGCAAACTAAAGTCACCGTATGTCGAATCCTTATTTAGCCACGTTACAAGAATGAATAAGACAAAAAAAAAGACGAAAGTGAACACCAAGAACCTCTAATCACCCAGTAAGATGCAATCATGCCAAGAAGGAACTCAAAATAACTTAGTAAGATGCAATCATGCCAATCATGCCAAGAACCTTTAATTTTAATACACATGCTGCAAATTAACTCAAAATATGCCAAGAAGAAAAACATGAAATTCCTAACTCGAGTAAGATGCAATATATTAACAAATTTCACAAGACCGAATCACTTTGCTTTTACCCCAATGTTTGAAAATGGGGCTCAGGAGAAGGAACTCACCCCCTTGCAACTCAGAAAAATCTTAATCAACTCATCAAAGTCTATGCTGAGTAACCCAATGAGCCAAATAAACACAAAAAAAAAAAAAAAAAAGGACTCAGATTTTAGTACAAACTGTTTGAATAATCAGTTTGTAACTGAGCTCTATTTTTTTTGTAACTGAGCTCTGATCTATTGGGCTGTTGTGAAAAATCTGTAAAATCTCCAAATAAACACAAAAAAAAGGACTCAGATTTTATTACAAACTGTTTGAATAATCAGTTTGTAACTGAGCCCTATTTTTTTGTAACTGAGCTCTGATCTATTGGGCTGTTGCGAAAAAACCATAAAATCACCAAATAAACACAAAAAAAAAAGGACTCATATTTTATTACAAACTGTTTAACTAATCAGTTTGTAACTGAACTCCATTTTTTTTGTAACTGAGCTCTGATCTATTGGGTTGTTTTGAAAAATCTGTAAAATCGCCAAATAAACACCAAAAAAAAAGGACTCAGATTTTATTACAAATTGTTTGAATAATCAGTTTGTAACTGAGCTCTATTTTTTTCCTAACTTAGCTCTGATCTATTGGGCTGTTGCGAAAAAATCCATAAAATCACCAACTAAACACAAAAAAAAAAATGACTCATATTTTATTACAAACTGTTTGAACAATCAGTTTGTAACTTAGCTCTATTTTTTTTGTAACTGAGCTCTGATCTATTGGGCTGCTGCGAAAAATCTGTACAATCGCCAAATAAACAAAAAAAAAACGACTCATAATTTATTACAAACTGTTTGAATAATCAGTTTGTAACTGAGCTCTATTTTTTTGTAACTGCGCTCTGATCTATTGGGCTGTTGCGAAAAGTCTGTAAAATCGCCAAATAAATAAATAATACTTAGATTTTATTACAAACTGTTTGAATAATCA